CCCCCCCATGATCATATGACTCAAACTCAAATCACATTAGTTTAGGTCCAAATCTAGATCGTCTCGTCATGTTCTGTAGATATTATTGTTTAAAGTTTACAGCTCGGTTATCTCTATAGCTGTTCACGGAGATAACGTATACAATATAACGAAATTACTTTCTAATCTCATAATATCTTTGACTCGGATGTAAAAAAAATCTTTGTTGTAGCTTGCGCCTTAGAGACGTTTGTTGTGTAGACACAGATTTGTAAATGGCCAAAAAATGTAGTCTCAAACCGAATTCGATTTTTTTTAAATATGAAGCCCACATAGCCCACTTCATCATGTATGCCAATTTTAGTGCTGTTTTTAAAAAAAAATAATTGATACTTGTAATATTACAGGGGTTATCCATTGTACAAAAATATTTCCCATGGCCACCGTACGCTACTGTACACTGCTAACTATGGTTTTTAATTGAAGATAGTCAAACTATATGAACAATTTTCAACTAACATGTATTTGTTGCCCTTGTAAGGAAACACGATTCTTTTCCCCCGCGATTTACCTTGTTTTACAAGGGCGAATATGAATTTAGATGATCTTAGAATAACTCCAACTTCAACATAGTCTCGTTCTTCAATAGTACAACTTTGTTCCTGCTGGACACGTGCATGGTACCTTATTACTGGCGATTTAAATAAATATAATTCTATGAAGGTACAAAGGACAGAGTGGCTCAGACTATTACATGGACTGCGAGTTTTAGGATACTGGGGGATTCTGTGGAAGATTACATCAGACCTTTAGCAAAATGAGATCATGTTTAATTGGATCCCAAAAAAGTCTTAGCAGCTTGAAATTGAAACGAAAGCGAAACACAAGTCTGTATATATTGACCAAAATTCCAAACCACACTCAACGAATTGTATCACAAGCATTTAGTTTGGTCTGAAGACAATACGTCTAATAACGTAATCCTTGTCTGCAAATACTATTACATGTCCTACTTGCAAAATGAACCATACCTATACAATTCTTTTTTTTCAAAAGACGAAATACTATCAAAATCACGATTCTGTATTACAATCTTTCCGCATACCCACGGATAAGTATATGGACCTGCCTCGTTTGTAATGGACTCCGAAACTTCACAAGAATTCTTATAAGTAACGTTTTATCGCTTGCTCTGTTTGCCATTATCCAAACTTATTAATACCCGTCTAAGTACCATATAGTCAGTAAAACAGTCGCTTTATAACGCTATATACTTCAGGAGTGTAATAATTGAAAGGGTATTTTGAAGAATTTAAAGGAACGTTTGGTCAATTATGTCGACGATATGCTGTTTCTAAACGACAGGAGATTTATTGACCACATTGATCGTACAAACCCTCGTGAAATTGAATCAAAGATACTACACAAACTATTCTACGCCAGTCGCTATCTTCTATCTTTACTAACAACGACACCATCAGGAGACTACATAGCTGTACGATCAGGTACGACTTACTACATAGCTGTACGATCAGCTACGACTTACTACATAGCTGTACGATCAGCTACGACTTACTACAAAGCTGTACGATCAGTTACGGCTTACTACATAGCTGTACGATCAGGTACGGCTTACTACAAAGCTGTACGATCAGCTACGGCTTACTACAAAGCTGTACGATCAGGTACGCCTTACTACATAGCTGTACGATCAGTTACGGCTTACGACATAGCTGTACGATCAGGTACGACTTACTACGTAGCTGTACGATCAGGTACGACTTACTACATAGCTGTACGATCAGCTACGACTCACCACAAAACTGTACGATCAGGGACGGCTTACTACAAAGCTGTACGATCAGGTACGACTTACTACATAGCTGTACGATCAGTTACGGCTTACTACATAGCTGTACGATCAGGTACGACTTACTACAAAGCTGTACGATCAGGTACGACTTACTACATAGCTGTACGATCAGCTACGACTTACTACATAGCTGTACGGTCAGGTACGGCTTACTACTAAGCTGTACGATCAGGTACGGCTTACTTCATAGCTGTACGATCAGCTACGACTTACTACATAGCTGTACGATCAGGTACGGCTTACTACAAAGCTGTACGATCAGCTACGGCTTACTACATAGCTGTACGATCAGCAACGGCTTACTACATAGCTGTACGATCAGGTACGACTTACTACATAGCTGTACGATCAGGTACGACTCACCACAAAACTGTACGATCAGCTACGACTTACTACATAGCTGTACGATCAGGTACGGCTTACTACAAAGCTGTACGATCAGCTACGGCTTACTTCATAGCTGTACGATCAGCTACGACTTACTACATAGCTGTACGATCAGCTACGGCTTACTACATAGCTGTACGATCAGGTACGGCTTACTACATACCTGTACGATCAGCTACGGCTTACTACATAGCTGTACGGTCAGCCGTAAGATTTCTAATTTCGAGATCGTTCCCTTTCTTGATAAATACACTTTATTTTCCCTGCTACGGTGTAAACATGTCGTATTTGATAGTAACACTCTACTTTCCCTGCTACGGTGTAAACATGTCGTATTTGATAGTAACACTCTAATTTCCTTGCTACGGTGTAAACATTTCGTATTTGATAGTAATACTCTACTTTCCCTGCTATGGTGTTAACATGTCGTATTTGATAGTAACAATCTACTTTCCCTGCTACAGTGTTAACATGTCGTATTTGATAGTAACACTCTCATTTTCTTGCTACGGTGTAAACATGTCGTATTTGATCGTAACACTCTACTTTCCCTGCTATAGTGTAAACATGTCGTATTTGATAGTAACTTTCTACTTTCACTGCTTCGATGTAAACGTGTCGTATTTGATAGTAACACTCTACTTTCCCTTCTACGGTGTAAACGTGTTGTATTTGATAATAACACTCTACTTTCCCTGCTACATTGTAAACATGTCGTATTTGATAGTAACACTCTACTTTCCCTGCTATGATGTTAACATGTCATATTTGAGAGTAACACTCTACTTTCCCTGCTACGGTTTAAACATGTCGTATTTGATAGTAACACTCTACTTTCCCTGCTATG